CCCTGGATCTGTGTGGGGTAGGGCAGGGTGAGCTGGGAAGAGCCCCACGCAGCTCAAGCCTGCCCTGCCCGGTGCAGATCTGGGACTATCCTCTCCTCTCCTCCCCCCACAACCCTCCAGATAAGCAGCAGTGGGAGCAGCTCGATCAGCAGCTCCTGGACAACAGCAGGAGCCATTCCCCCCACCCCACACCCCTTGGACAAGCCTGCCCGCCCCAGCTGGGCAGTGCTTTCCCCAGGCCCTGCCCCAGCCCTTCTTCACCACAGGGGCCTTGATCTGTCCCCCGACACCCCTTCTCACACCCCACCCCTTCCACCACACCAGACTTACTAGCTGCACACTGCTCTCCAAGCTGCCAGGCTGTGCTCCTCACTGCCTAGGTGCTACGCTGTGGCTGCATACACGCATGGGCATTTATCGGCTAATTATTGGCCACATCAGGCTAGTTTCCAGCACAATCAATTTTCTTTATATCTGTGCTGATCTGATATCAGACTGATGTATTGGTGCACCTCTACAGTGTGGGACTGGGTGCCCCCAGCTGTTGCACTGTCACCCTACCACTCAACTCTGCATCTGTTAAGATGCCCTGTTCCACAGCCCACAAGAAACCACCCATGTGTCAATATGTAGCCTTGAAATTGAAATGGAATGGAGGTTGTAACACTCGTGTGGGGAGGAAGACAGCGTGGGTTGGCTGACAAGGCTAAGTAACAGGAATGACTGAGAATATGGCAAAAATTAATTCAAGAAAATCACAGGCCAAAGCCACAGCAAAGACCATCTGCAAAGGAGAGAAGAGAGAAAGGATTTGGTACATAATGCACATGTGATACCTCAAAGGACAACAGTGTATTTAGAACATATAAGATTTTAATTTCTAGGTCTTCCCAATCTACAGACAAATAGAGATCAAGTGTTTATTTTCCAGACACATTTACTACTACTATTACAGTCTTTGTCCCATAACTGATCACAACCTTACCATCCTTCTCATTTCTCATGCCCCAAACTTTATTTTTCTTCTCTCCTCACATCTCAGCTTTTACAAATCAAACAAACAACTTAGTGTCTTTCCAGTCAGTCACATTTATAAAAAGCTGTCCTACTTTTTTTTTTTTTTTTTTAAATCAACCCCACTGCAAAACTTCATTTGTACCATAAATCCCTCCCTCCCCTCCAGCTTATCTCCTCTTCCTCTACGTATTTAATTTTCAGCAGCTAGTTTTTTTTAACAGGAGTGTAGATCTACTTCTTTTCTACTGAAAGAATAAACCTACTTATCTTTATTTCTTTTAAATATTTTAATTGACAATATTTTAAAAAACTTTTACATACTACAATGTCCATGGTCAGATACATCTGCTGTAACTATGGTTACAGATGTTGAAGTGCTGTTACCACAGACAGAACAACGTGGACAAAGAGTTTCTTTACTTCTTTCATGACTGATCCATGTCACAGACAACTGGAGGAGTTACAAAATTTAAATAGAGTTGTTTAAAGAGCCAGGGCCAGCTGAGGTCAATGGAAACCTCATGTCACTTCAAAGAGCTTTGGACCAGGTCACACAAATTTTAATACTTAGTTTTGGCTATCTTGTTGCTTGTGTAAAAAGATTTTTAAAAGGGTACAAGATTTAAAAAAAAATTAAATCTAGATTATATTTAAGCCCTTAAATCACAGTTCAAATTCTTAAAATATAAATGTAATGGTAAGAGAAGATAGTCAAGATAAAGCTGTTATTGGTACTGTATATGTGAATACAACTATGTGCCTAAGACAAGTGCCCCAATCTGACCTGTCACTGCAAACCCCTCTCTCACAAGCCTACAGCTCTCTTTTCTAGAAGCCAAGCCTGTAAAATATTAACATTATTGCAAAATACAAACATGTAAGATTATAGAAGAAGAACATTATTACAGCTGTGACTTGGGTAAAACCTTCTATATGCCCTTATAAAAAAATAAGGCCATAATATTTTCTAATTTAGCTCATGAGAATCAAATTCTTCAACTATGTACAGTCTTGGCTTTTTTCTAAAACCAGTATTAAAAAGTAATTCACTTATAGCTGGAGCTCTGAGTAACTGCCTCTGCAGATTCTGATCTTGATAACATATACTTAGTGTTGTAGGGCCCAGAAAAGCCTGAAAAATAGTAACATATTTACCCAAAGCTAAGACAACCCTGAATTATAAGTTTGTTATAAATTTTCCATGTAAACTTTCTAATTATTGGAGGATAGTCTTAAATTTGTCTCTACCACCACTGCAGTTGGGAAAGCAGTGGGAGGGGAGCAGGCAGTGGGGGGAAATGGAAAGAAGGCAGGTGGTAGGGGGCAGTGAGGGGACAGGTGGTACAAAGCAAGCAGCTTTGCCCCCTTATGCCTGCCACACCCCACTTATCCCCCTCCTTGTGCCTCCCCTCCCCATAGCCTATGCCCTGCAGCCCCGTTGTTTTCTCTCCCACGCCGCTTCTGTGCCCCTTCCTGCAGCCTCAGTCCTACACCTCCTCTCACCCCACAGCCTCTGCCCCCTGCTGCCCCTTTCTGCTTACCCTTGCTTCTGCACTAGCAGCCTCTGTCCCTGCTCCAGCCTGGAACATAGAGTATAGAGCACAACCCCAGCCAACTCCACAGTAGTGGTGTGGAGCCAGCACTGCTGATATGGGGCCAGGTTGGAGCCATGCTTCATGCTCCTGCCTGGAGTGGAACAAAACCTGCCAGTACTAGAGCAAGGGTAAATGGGAGGAGGGATAAGGGAAGATCAGAAGGGAAGGGAGGAGTGGGGAAAGAGGAGATGGGGAAGGGGCTTGAGGCTACTGGGGGGGAAGTCAGGGGGTGCAGAAGCAGTAGAAGGGCAGAAAACAGGACCATCTGATCAAGAATCAGAGCCAAAGCCGCAGCAGCTGCCTGCCTCCCAGCTGCCTCATGCCTGATTCCAAGATAAAGTTTTTCCCTCCCAATGTTAAATGGGCGGTGGGGAAATGAACCTCATCTTGGAATAGAATAAATACAGTAACTGTCAGCACTGCACAAATCAGACATACATCAAACCGTTCAGTGTGATGATGATGACAGTAAAGAGCCGCAGACTTGGCTGCCTCAAATTCTTTTCCTACTGCTATCAGCACCCTTTTTGATTGCTCAGGGGGCAAGATGCAGAGGCATGCGCTCTCAAGAATGAATGATGCTCTCCAAAGGCAATCATCAGAGACCAGTATGGTTCAGTCACAACAAAAACCAAGTGGACAGGCAGGATCTGACTTCACAGTGAGCATTACAGACAGACCCTTGATCATGTCAGGATCAGGGTCAAGGGCAATCAGCAAGTCATTCTTTCCCACTTTAATCCTAGGACTAAAAACGGTCAAACCTCAATACATTTTATGTGGTGCAACACCTTGTGTTCCCTCCAAAAAGCATATCCACATATAAGGACATGATTCACTCTCTAAGCTCGTATTGACATACTATCCTGGAGTGTACATTTTACACATTCATCTTCTGGTTTTGGACAGTTAAAATCCTGGAGGAGTTCAAAAGCTACGTGGCTGGGTGCATTGGTATTTCCACCACTGTGGCAATCATATTAACTGCAATCATATTAACTGCATATTAAAAATGAAGAGTGGAGATCCTATAATCATTATCAAAAGGGATTTATATGAGTAGGGATGAAATTATGTAGCCATTATGAAAGCACAGATTATTCACAAAAAAAATCATCACAAACTCCAATTGAGCCTAGAATTCAACTACCATCTAGAGCCATATTTATTAATGATCAGATCATTATATACAAGTCAAGCTATTCTGTTTCCATAACAAAACAAAATCAGCTGGTCAGTTACTCAGACAGGAGTTGGCAATCTATGGCCTGCAAGCCAAATCTGACCTGCACAGAAATTTTATCTGGCCCACCAACCATGTCAAAAAATGACACAGTCACAGAAATTTATTTCCTGCTATTAGTTAAATTTTGTGCAAGAGTGTGCCACCAAGGATTATAAGAAAATGTGAAGGAAGGGACCTCATGAGATTACTTAGTCCATCCCTGGCTCAAGGCAGGATTGTCCCTGACTAAATCATTTTAGACAAGTGTCTGTCCAACCTGCTCTTGAAAACTTCCAATGATGGAAATTCCACTTTTTCTAGGCAGCTTGTTCCAAAGCTTGACCCCCTCATAGTCAGAAAATTCCTCCTAATTTCCAAACAAAATTTCTTCTGCTGCAGTCACTTGAGTCCATTGCTCTTAGTCCTGTCCCCTATGGCTACACAGAAAAGGCTAATCTCCATCCTTTCTAAAATAACCCTTCAGGTATTTGAAAGCTGTCATCAAATCACCCCTCAGACTTCTCTTCTCTAGACTAAATAAGTTATACGTAGCGGCTTTCTTTCAGTCTTCTCTGAAGTCATGTTCCCCAGACCTTTAATTATTTTTGTTGCCCTCCACTGGATTCTGTCCCAGTCTTCCTTGAAGTGTGGGACCCAAAACTGGACATAGTACATCACGTGAGGCCTCACCAGTGCAAAATAGAGTGAAAGAATCACTTCCCTTGGTTTTTAAGAGACAAAAAACTGTTAATACAACCCAAGATGAAGATATTTAATAAACATACCTGTAGTAATTTGTACATAGTATCTATAGTCTTAGTTCATCCAGAATTGATGTTTGACCTTCTGCAAATTTGAAACTGCTGCAAGTTTTAGCATAAGTAATCCATAAACACACTTCTAAAAGCAGCAATTTTGTACCCATTTATAGATGGTACAAACTATGTATGATATTAGTCCAAAGCAAAAAAGGCTCATTACTTAGTATATAGTTCACTGGGCTGGAGAGGGCCAGCCGAGTCGACACATTTCAAGCCGTAGTGACCCCAGGTCAGCACTGCTCAGTATGTGTGTATACTCCAAATACCCACACAAAGGATCCATGTGTTAGTTAGCCCCCCACTCATGACTGGAACTGGGTGTTCTTGTCATGAGTCCTGGGATCCTCCAAATATTTATGTGCAGATGAAGCGCAGAACAATGTGGTCTGGCTTCACTTTGTGGAGGGTGGGGTCACACTATTCATATGCAATTAGAAGGGGTGACAGATTCTGGGGTGAACTGTTTGGGGCCCCGATTGGTGATGTTTGCCAGACATTTAAAGGTAGTGAAGAAACAGAAATCAGTGAAAATGGGAAAGAAAGTAAGGTGCAGCTCAACTGTGTGACTGAAAAGAAAGTTGAAACAGACTATGTAGTGGCTCACCATAACTTTAAAGAATTAGTGCTATGGGGAACTATGCTCAGTGAACGCTACCATGCATCTTATTCAGATGGATTTCATTTGGTAACACTACATGGATCTGAATGATTGAATTCTGCTCAATCTATAGGTTACAAAACTGATTTAGCTAATTTGACCTGGAACATGAAATGGAAGAAAAAAAAAAAAGAAAGAAACAAGGATGCTCAAGACTTTTTGGCTAGAAGAAGACTAGGGGGCATCTGAACCCCAAGGCCTCTGGGCTTGGGACTTGCACATAGAATGCCTGCTATGGACTTGGGAGCATCTGAAGCCCCAGGCTGAAGAGTCTGGGGGGTAGGATACTTGCTGGTGGTAGTGCCACAGGCTTGAATATGAGCTCAGCTCAGTCAATAGAACTCAGAACTGATTTGGCTAATTTGGCCTGAGACACAAATCAACACATGTACACACATATGGATGTTCAATATGCAAAACTTTGTAAGTGTAAGGTGATAAGTGCATTTTTAACAAAATTTTGTAAATAAATAAATAGCAATTAAAAAGGGTTTCCCCATCAGCACGTTTGCTCAATATGGGCCATATGTTTTATGGCCATGCTCAGTGTTTCCAGCATTTAGTTAAATTCATTACTAAGCACAGGCTGCTTTTGGCAGCAGTTTAATGATAGACAATGTATTCAATGAGGTTTCTTTGTATGGGAATATAAGATGAGGAGCTTTCTCCCCCCATAAGCAAGGCATAAAAAAATCTCAGTAAATACAGTATATTTAAAAACAGGGAGGGGGACCCCAAAACCCAGCAAGAACAACAACTAACGGAAGGGACCAACTAACAGAGTCATATGAACAATGTCTTGTTGTATTCTATCACAAGAGGTCCCAGAGCTAATTCCCAAACTTCAGGATGAACAAGCTGATCCAGACTCCACAATTCCCTCTTTTACATATGTGCATATAAAGCCTCTTTTATGTATGTGAGCATGTATTGTACTCAAGCTTTTTGGGCTATCAAACAAATAGCTGCTATATGAAAATCCATTATCATCATTATGTATAAACTGCAAGAGTCTCATCTGATACAGGCATAGCAGTCTGGAAAAACACTTCTCTTGCATACCAGAAAGAATCAGGGATGGCTTTTCCCATTTTTACCATGGGCTCCTCTTGTGAGTGAAAAATTAACTTATCCTACAAATGGGGGGTACACGTGATGCTGGATAAAGCAAGGAATGTTAAGAGTGAATTCAGCAAAAGTCAGACTCCAACACTGCTTTTAAAAATCTGAAATCTCCTACATTAATTTAACAGGATCTTCAAGATCAAGGCTCTTAGAGACAATACAACATATGGTAAGTAACACACCACACTGAGATAAATGCTGCTGCTTTGACAAAGTGACGCCTCAACTCTCTATCCACACTTTTGTTCATTTGTCAGTCCTTACTATTTAGACATATTGATTGTCATCTGATTTTGAAATTCCAAGTTATTCAACCATACTCCAAGATATTTTCTACTAGTCCTTATTGAAACAAAACTATACATAACAGATAATACCACCTATCTGATAATGCTCAAATAGTACAGTCATGATGAAAGTAACAAATACCTTCAGTGATGAGAGTGGTATGTGGCAGAAGGGCTGGGTACTGAGGCTACTGGCTCTTGCAATGCAAAGCCAAAGGCTGGTGACTTGACCCTTATTACAGGCTCAATTGTACAGTCACTCTGGGGACAAAAATACCATTATGTTCAAAGACTGTTCCACATATGAAGTGGCTGCACAGTTGGGATCTGGAACAGGGGCAGCTTAATAGCCGAAACAAACAAATAAACAGGAGAACATTAACAGAGCCGACATCAAACAAGCAACAAATCAACTGGCTGTTTTGAATTAAAAGTCTATTTCCCAGAAGGATTACATGGTCTTGCTCTATATTTTAATACAACACTTCTCCTTCATTTACCACAAGATGTGAGAGACTGGATGGGAAGAATAATAATAATAATCATGATCCCCCATAATTAAGGCTGTTGTTGTTACTATATTGTATTCAGCAGCCTGAAAACCCTGATTAACCTTCATTGGATGAACCTCTTCAAAACATCTGTATGCTTGAACACCACTACCATTTGACAGAAGAAAGTTTCATGCCAAGTAACGGTACGGCTCTACAAATCAGTCTAATCTGTGGAAAAGAGGACCTGCATATACCTGTACACACACAACACGTTAAAGCCCTGAATTCTGAACCAATCCTCCAGCCCAATCAGCTGTCAGAGGTATCATGCAACTGCAACAGAATAATGAACGTTCTGCAGCACCTCAGAACTGCCATTTGAATGTATTTTTCATAAGTATTTCAGTCACTATCACTAGAGAAGCTAAATAATGCTATTATGTACTATATTTAAAAGACAGAAAATAACTTATACAAGCAAATTTTGTTAGGTCAGCCACTCCGCAAAAGCCCAAACGTTCTACAGTTACTGGCAAAACAAGATTAGAAGCTCTTTCACACATTTAATTGCTTTATCTTCTGTTATTCCAGCCAATGGATGATTCAACTTCCTAGTTTTGGTACACTTTTTTTTTGGTTGGCCTCCTTAGTACAATCAAATTTAACAGCATTCATCTTTAGATTGCCCTCTTCACAGGGTGACACTTACGTTGCTTGGCAGAACTCATTAACACGCACACAGTGACAACTTGCCAACAAGTGGCATCTGGCTACCCTGTCAATGGAAAGAGAAGCTGGGACATGATTGAAGAGAAAACCATAGAGTATAAGGAAAGTCACTATATACCTGAGCAGTTGTGTGGTTGACTATGGCCTTGCCAGGGGAAGAGGATGTTGGCTGCTGCACTGTCAGGATCTGCTGTCCTAAGGCTACATTCAGGGGAACACCCACAGTCTTCTGGGGAGAATTTGGAGGCTGAGAGGCCACTGACACCACAGTTAGCTGCTGAACAAAATGAAGCTAGTTAAAAAAAAAAATTAAAAAAAAAAAAAAAATCACTGCACAGCAAGTTTCAAGCGACTAGAGATCCTTCAGTCCACTGCCAGCAAGCACATTATAGTTTGCTACATCAATGTGTCCTGTACCTCTCCCAACTTAATTAAGAATACCAGGTTTACCAAAACTCCATCCAACAGAATTGTAGTACCTCCTGAGTGCAGGTGCACACACACATGAACACATATTAGAACAAATGATAAAGAAAGCATTGCCACAGTACATGCAAAGTAAAAGGCAGCTTAGAAAGGCAATAGGGGTATTACTTGGAAAACCTTCTATATGGTAGCCTAAGACAAAATTTCCAAATTGCATTTTCTAGTGAACATCTTCACACACAGCATCCATGCATTTTCTTTCTTCACAAACAGAAAAATGGGGAAAAATCCACCCAGAAGATTTCAGATTTACAATGTTAATAGATTCAGAATAAAGGGATTTCATTGGTATTTCCTAAACTCAGTTTTAGATATATGTATGCAAACCAGAGAGGCCAGATTTTCTTAACAGATTTTTGGAGAGAACAAAGTATTTAAATTGCTTGTGTTGTAAATCTGTTACTTTTCAAACTCTCAACATCCTACTATTTTAAGTGTTTCATCTGCTTTCTTTTTTATATACAAAATCCCTGAAGTCATTAAATTGTGTGAATGTGTCTCTCTTCTGCAGTATACTCAAAATATAATTGAAAGAACCTTTTGACTGGTAAAGTTCTATTGCTTATTTTATGTAGGTTTTATTCTCTCTCTCTACACACACAACACTTAAGAGACAGAATAGCAATCCCCCTATATTTGTGCAATGCTACATTGATCCCTTAGTAATGACAATGAAGGAAAACTTTTCATTCTTACATCATTGCCTCCAGTGGCATGAATCTGAAACAGAGCATGAGACACACACAAGCCACCATTCTGCAGATCTTTCCAACAATGCCCCTCACTCCCATGGCTACTGAAGTCTAACAACATAGGGTATACAAGGGAGGAGTCAACAGGAGATCCACCCTGTGGCACATGCAGGCCCCCTAACTTTATGGTGCATAAGTTTTCCTCCCTACTCCTTCCCCCAGTACTCTTCATCTGTACCAAGTCACCCATCCTGCTTCTACTGTAGAAAATAGCAAAACTGCTCATTTCAAATAATGGAGCCTGGTATAACAAACAACTCAGAGCAAGGAGCAGTTATTTAATTTCTCTGTGCACTGCCATACACATCAATGGGCCTTTATACGAGTGCTCCATAAACTGGCTGTTTTCATATGCAAATTATTCATGCAATTGATGCATACAGAAAGCGTCAAAACACTAATATCTACTACAATGTGAGTGTATTTCCAATCACTAGAGATATATGGGGTAGAAGTTTCAGAGACGTAGTGGTTTTTATTTAATTTCTGCAGGATCCAAATAAAATGGAAAGAAAAGATAGAAAAGGCATCCAAGCCAGTGAAGGACTGTTTCCCGATCCATGTTATTCTAAGACTATTAAACACCAGACTGGATGACTCAAGGAGTGGGTCTTTTATAAAACTTCTTAGGAAGTGTCATATATGCCTTCTTAATTTCTACCCTTTGGATTGGATTTAAAAAAAAAAAATGTTTGTGAAAAAAATCATTGAAAATACTGTCTATGCATATGCAAAGGTTTCAATAGTTATGACAGACTGTTTAATCAATCAACAATTCGTACTAGACACAGGGTGAAAAACATCATGGGAAAAAAATAGAAGCAGTGCCTCTTTAAAGAGCTGTTTTCCATACAACACCTTATAGCAGGCACAAACATTTTAAAGGAAGTTAATTAGCATTTCAAAAAGGTACTCTTGTTCCAGCTTCAAGTACCTGGGAATAGGGGACCATGAGATACAAATGCAGGCTGAGAGGTCATTATTGTGTGCTACACCAAAGAGGAAAGGGGAGGCTAGGACAGGAAACAAACTGCAAGGAATATAGGAGAAATAACCACAGGTGATTTTATCCAAACTGTATAAAAGAAAACTATCCTGAACTGATTGAAGAATCATATGATAGATGTTACAAAAATGTCATCTCTCATCAGAAGAGTCATTGTTATAAAAAACTTCTAAGAAAAATATCTGGGATTATACCAAACCCCTTTAAAAATCAACAAGGCTGAAGAACAACACCTTCCTTGGAGATTTTGGGCTTTTTATTTACAGTCTTCTACCACCATTCTACCTGCCTCTCCACTGAGAGCTGTTAACTGCAGAAGCACAGAGACAGGACCGACACTTTGGAAATAGGAGAGATGTTGAAGAAAAAAGCTAGTGTAGATAAGGCTTAACAAATTGTTAAGGAAGGAAAAGGGAAAAGAACTGGGAACAAAGATGTACTCATCAGCTGGGTCCATCTTTGTCTTTATACTGAGGCAAGAGTACCCATCATCCCTCTTAGTATTTCATACATGTTCAATAAGGTTTATAAAACCATTTATTTTACAACTATTTTCATTGTATATTCCTCTCAGAACTTGTTTTTTTCCCCCCGAGATTAAACCTGAGTATCTGGAACATGATACATTTACACCAGGGCTGGGCAAAATACAGCCTGAGAGTCAGATCTGGCCCACGGCGCTCTGCATGGGGTTGAGCCCTGCTCCTGCCCAGGGCAGCCCTTGCTGTGCTTCTGCCTGTCCTGGCCCCAGCCGGCATGCACAGCTTCCTGGTGGGGCTGCTCTTGGTGCAGCTACCTCCTGGGTACTGCTTGGCTGCTCCCACCTCCAGTTTCTTCTCTTCCTGCCCCTGCTGCACCACTCCAGGTAGTAGACAGTACAGTGAAGCTGTGGGGATGTGTGCCAGGCAGCAGATGCCCAGCCACTGGGGGGGGGGCTGCAGCTGGGTGGCACCTGCTCCAGTGCATGGGGCTCTAGCTTTCAGTTGCCTTCCACCCACTCTGCTGTCCACATGTGGATACTTATGTCAGACTGAGTTATTATTCTGAGCTACTATCTAATGGCCTCTACATACACTACTCAAAAAAAACATAAGATCGGGACAAAAAATATTTTTTGAAATCCATCTGGATTTGAAATCTATCTAGTTATAGCTGTCCACAGTAGGTACTATTACCATATTTTCTCATATAACAAACCCCCAGATATAAACATACACCCTTATTTTTGGAAGGCTGCAAGAAGGAAAAAAGTTCTTACTCTGGAGTACAGGCAAGCACCTAAGGCTTGGGTCTGTGGTGCAGCAGGGCCTGACTCTGCACACCAGTTCTGGGACCACTCAGCAGGGCCTGACCTGGCACATGGCTCTGGAGCCAGAGTGCAGTCCCGGATTCAGCGTGCCAGATCCAACAGGCCACACCAGCCTGATCCGGGCACGTGGTTGGATAGGGTGGCTCTCCATGGGTCCAGAAATTTGGTGACAGTAGTGGGAGTGATGGCACTTAACTGTTGTAGCTCCCACAGCAATTACCACATCACCAACACCAAATTTCCAGACTTCTAGGGAGCCTTTTACCTTGTGTATAATGTACACCCGATTTTCCCCAGATGGTTTGGGGAAAAAGATGCAAGTTATATGAGAGAAAATATAGTACCACACCTTGCTACCAGATTGGGGGAGGGGCAGGTAGTTGGTTTGCCCTGAGAAAACAGTTACTCCTAAATAAGCCACAGGCAAATTAATACCTACACCAATTTTCCTGAAGGTCATTCTATACCAGATTTGAATTAATTACACTATGGTAGGGCTATATGTCAGCTTTCGGAGTAGCACATCCAACCTTAGAGATTTTTGAGGGATGGGGTTATTTTTATTTTTGTGGAGTTACCAAGATCTATTCTTGAAGATGAAACAGCCTTTTGACCACTCATGGCAGCATGTCTGGAAGAAAATGGTACCTATTCCAGATCATATAGCTTACTTGGGAGGGACCTGACCAAGCTAATAACCACAAGTGTCAGGAATGAAGAATTAGAGGTTAGAATAATGCACATTTCAAATTAACTGCCAAGAACTGTAATAGATAAGCAGCACTTTGTGGCAACAGGCCCTTAAGGAGTTGGATGAGAACAAGGAAAACATATTAAATATGAACTTCAAGAACCAAACACAGAACAAGATGAAAGGGGGGAGCTACACTCAGGACCTTACCTTATTGGGGGACTTCAATGGGGAGATAGCTATCTTATTTGGTGTCTGTTGTGTTGCTGAACTTAAAGATGACCCAATAACTCCACTCTCAGAAATTGTTATCGTCTTCGGTGGTGTTCCTGGAGCAGTCTGTGAAAGAACCCTACCTGTGGATAATAGACATTAACAATTTAATTAATCTTCTGTTTCTTTATAATAGCCTTTCAAGCAAAAAGTTATTTAGAAATCCTGGGTGCTAGCAGTCTCTTGGCCCCACCTCAAAAGGATATTTCCCTTGATATCAGTGGTGAGACATCAATGTTATGCAGGACATGTTTAATAGGCAAAGAAATGCAACTTTAGAAGGGAAAAGAATTGCTTTGGACTGTTTTCCAAATAAATGTCATGTCTATATATCTTGTGAAAAGGCAAATTTATGCTGGTATTTTAAATAGACTTCACTAAATATTCCTTACTCTTAGAACTGAGTTCTAGTCTTCTCTGTTCTACTCCAACATCACAGTACCCTATGCAAAAAAACCAAACAAACCTAGTTTTGGCAATTCACTTACTACCAACAGCCTCAATGCCTGATATACACGCATCCAAAAGAGCCTTTTCAGTTCTTTAGGAATCAGAGCACATTTAGAAAAGTGACCAGCACAATAAGGGATCTTTTCTGGGGATACTGTTTTTAAAAATTAATTATAATGGAATTTTTTAGAGGAATTAGAGAATTATTTTTCAGGTTTATCTGTATAAATCAAGCTGCAATATTATTCCTTTAGGTTTGGTTTCTCATATGTTGGTATTTGTAAACAAATGAGTAATGTTGCTGTAAAACATGCCAAAACACACGTGCAACTTGAATACACAAACTGTTCTTTCCAAAGCAGCCAGTGTGATCAAGCTTAAATGTCAACTAGCATCACCATCTCATTTGTATTTGAGGGACTGGATGTATTCAAATCAGCTGGGCTGGACGATCTCCACCACCGGGGTACAGAGGGAATTAGCTGAGGTCATTGCGGGACCCCTGGCACAGCTTCACAAGCACTCATGGTGCTCTGGTGTGGTGCCAGAGGACTGAAAGAGGGCCAATGTTGTTCCCATCTTCAAAAACGGGAGGAAGGAGGACCCGGGGAACTATAGGCCAGTTAGTCTTACCTCAATCCTGGGTAAGCTTTTTGAGAGAATTATTTTGGCACATGTCTATGAGGGGCCAGCAGGGGAGATTATGCTTAGGGGCAACCAACATGGGTTCATTAGAGGCAGGTCCTGTCAGACCAACCTGGTGGCCTTCTATGACCAGGTCACCAACTCCTTAGATGCAGGGGTAGCAGTGGACATAGTCTTCCAGGACTTTCAGAAGGCCTTCGACACTGTCTCTCACCCTGTTCTCATTAAGAAACTGGGGGACTGTGGTGTCGACACCCACACAGTCAAATGGGTCGCCAACTGGCTGGAGGGCCACACCCAGAGAGTGGAGGTGGACGGGTCATTTTCGACCTGGAGGGATGTTGGCAGTGGGGTCCCTCAGGGCTCGGTCCTCGGGCCCGCACTGTTCATCATCTTCATCAGTGACTTGGACAAGGGGGTAAATAGCACCCTGTTCAAATTTGCTGATGACACTAAGATGTGGGGGGATGTGGGCATGCTAGAAGGGAGGAATAGGCTGCAATCAGACCTAGACAGGTTACAGGGGTGGGCGGATGAGAATAGGATGGGATTCAACACTGACAAGTGCAAGGTGATACACCTGGGCAGGAAGAACCAACACCATACCTACAGGCTGGGGAACTCCCTTCTCATCAGTGCAGAGGCAGAAAAGGATCTTGGAGTCATCATTGATGCCAAGATGAACATGGGCCGGCAGTGTGGGGATGCCGTCAGGAAGGCCAACTGCACCTTGTCATGCATCCACAGATGCATCTCAAGCAGGTCCAAGGAGGTGATACTCCCCCTCTATGCGATGCTGGTCAGGCCGCAGTTGGAGTACTGTGTCCAGTTCTGGGCGCTGCACTTCAAGAGGGATGTGGACAACACGGAGAGGGGCCAGAGGAGGGCCACTTGCATGATCAGGGAGCAGCAGAGCAGGCCCTACGAGAACAGGTTCAGGGACCTGAACCTGTTCAGCCTCCACAAGAGAAGGCTGAGGGGGGATCTAGCGGCCGTTTACAAACTAGTCGGGGGGACCAGCAGGCATTGGGGGAGTCCCTGTTCCCCCGAATACTACCAGGAGTGACTAGGAATAATGGTCACAAGCTGGCAGAGGGTAGATTCAGGCTAGATATCAGGAGGCACTACTTCACGGTCAGGGCAGCTAGGACCAGCTTCCAAGAGAAGTGGTGCTGGCTCCTACCCTGGGGGTCTTTAAGAGGAGGCTAGATGAACACCTTGCTGGGGTCCTTTGACCCCAGTGCTCTTTTCTGCCATGGCAGGGAGTTGGACTTGATGAACTGCTCAGGTCCCTTCCGACCCTACTAACTACAAAACTATGAAACAGGGAGGGTTCACAAAAATCACTTCCTTTAAAGATTACCACCAGCAAGTTAAGCTCTGACTTCACCCTGCTACCACAGAAGAGAACACAGGACACACAGGATGGGAGCAGAAGACTTGTCTGGAGCTAACTTCATGCTAGGAAGAGATTTTCCCAGTTAGGGATACAACTACTCCCCTTCCCTCCACAACGCTCACATTAAGTATGCAATATTTCTGTACTTTTACCAGCTTCTTAGCAACAGCCAAAACCAATATTACTCCTTTTGGACCCGAGTAGTTAGCCAAAGTTTGGGGTTCTGCCGTTGCTTCAGGTAGGTGGAGAACTTGACAGCATCTTTTATAGGATTCTGTTTATTTATAAATAATGTACAAAGTCAAGTTTCTCCCAACATCAGGAATCAAAACAGCAAGAGATAGTTCCTTTGGTCATAGCTTCAAGTTCCTTTCTATCTCTCTCTTGGCTTTCTCAAGGCCGTGTTTACCAGTTCCACATACCTACTTACCAGATTGAGAGGGGGTACACCTCTTTCTCTCTGGGATATTTTTCTCATGACATCTCTCTGTCATACATCCCCTGTCCTAAGAAGAACATACTGTGAAGCCCATCCAACCACATTTGCCATTGCTTTGGTTTTTGGATGGAGGCTACCATTATTCCCACAAAGGACTTGTTTCTTAATTTTTTCCCAAGTGAAAGACAGCCTCCAGTTTCTACACATTTTAACCCAAGTTATGATACCATTTTTAGTCACATGCAGGGGATACAATTAGGCCCACACTTTGCCAGCCTCTCTCCTGTTATATTACTTTTTATAAATGAGGTAAGGATTTCCTAGGGTGATATCTTTTACTGTGTGAACTATGTAGTTGGGATAGAGTTAGACAAGCTTTTGAATGAAGGACATTCTTCCTCAGGTCATGTTTTACAGCTCCACAAAAAAAACCCTGCTCTAGCAGGCTCTAGAGCAAAATTGCAACTGTTGTTTCCCAGAGGGACACACCAAACTAGTTCTAGAAATACATGGAGCAGAGAAGGACTGAGGTGGCTAAAGAACTGTATCCCTCCAGATTAACATGAACCTCCCTCCATGACAGATGGTTCTGTGCTTGTAGATAAAGTGGCAGGTAGCTCTTCAGGAATGATCTGCCTCTCTTCACTGTGCTCCTGCAGCAGCCCATAGAAACAGGTCATGTATACAGGGCCACACAATGCAGGCAGCAGCTCACCAGTCCAAATTTCCCTTCTTCCACAACCTTTAGCTGAACTTTATGGGAATAGGGAGCCAAGGTTAATCAAACAACCAATGGAAGATCACCCAGGGCAATTTATGGCTTCTGGGTCCTGATCTAACATTCAATGAAGTCACGAAAAACAACAAACTAATTTCTGTGGAAGCTGGATCAGGACTTAATCAATGGGGAAGGGGAATGGTGACAGTACAAAGAAGTATAAGGCTAAAAGAAATAAAAAGCAGTAGTGGCTACTGAGTCAGAATACAGACCACTGGTTCTTAACCTTCTCAGATTCAATGCACCTCCAGGTATCCCTCAAAGTGCCAGCTCTTAGTTTTCACTTTTTTGACTTCAGAAAAATACTACAGCAATTCTGTTGCAAAGAACTCAGAAAGACCCCAGCAAGTCAGAGTGTTTTTAACACTATGAATTCTTATTGGAAATCTCTGGATTGATCCTGTGGATCATGTATGCACACCTAACAGTGCTAACATTGTATGGCACCTTGCAGTACCCTTGAAAAGATCAAGGCACCCTGGTTAAGAATCACTGGAGACACTGAGATGTCAACGAAGCACCACTACACAAATTTAATGTCAAAGGGAACTCCAACTGGAACAACATACCACTCCCCAAACTACAGCAATGTATTTGTTGCACAAAGGCACCAAATAAAAGAAATGCAATTTGTTACATAAGTGAGGGTCAAAAACAAAAGAAAACAACAAAAACATTAAGCAGTAAGAAGACAGGTATGTCAGAGTGCTAGTCCCCCAGAAATGGCATTACCCTAGCAGAAAATTCCTCTCCCCTGTAAGTACATTACAAATCTGATTCTATCAACATGTTCTCTAACATATGCCATGTCAGTAACAAAACAACAATACTGCCAGCCGCCCTCAAATTAATATACATTCTTACAAATAAAGCATAAGAATATTACCTTCCATAATGTTTCCAGTATGTTTTTCTGAAGACAGCAACTTTTCCCTCCTCTGTCCATTCCCTAAGTACCTCCTCCCATTCTCCCTTCCCAAGTGAAAGGTTGGCCACTTAAATTTACTTCATACATCATGAAATTGAAGTAAAAGTTAATATAGTCACACTCAACTTTAAAAAATATTAGATAGTAAGCAAAAGCCATGTGTCATACTTTCCCAGTAAGCTAATGGTCAGAAACTCTCAGAGCTGGCAAAGTGAGTGGATGCATTTTTAAAATGTTTTTTTTTTTTGTTTGTTTTTTGTTTTTTTTTAGAGAAGCAGTTGAACCTACCAGTGATACTTCTCTTGCAGGGACTGGAGAAAAGTAGTCTTGATTCTCTAGCATATTGGTTTAAAAGAAAAAAAGTTAAAATAGGATTTTTTTTTTAACTGAATTGTGTGTCAGTTTCAATTCTGTGTTCTGATGTGAGATATTCCATCAGTTTAGGGGACAAGCTTCACAGAAATAATAATGATATGCTATTCTATGTATGGTTTTTCTTACCATTCAGATCCTTCCTAATTTCCAATATTTCATGCATTGTTAATGGAAATGGAATAAGGTTGCAGGGTTTATTTTGTTTTTAAAGAAAGCTGAATTAGAAGTTGTATGAAACAGTTTGATTTCCATGTAGAAAAGTATACGGCCAAATTTTAGATGGGAAAGAGTGAGTGAGAACAGAAGGGAAAGAAAAGTAAAAGCTACTTTCTTTCAGGAAAGCAAGGAAATCTTCTAAAGACAAAGGAATGCAACTTACCCTGAGAAACAGGGGTAGGTGCATGGAACAGGCAGCACCACAAGGCAGCAGTGTAACAAGGCAGGGCACCTGTGCCAGAGGGGCAGCAGCAGCTTCCAGTTCTCACTGCTGCTGCCATCACAGCTATAGCAAAAGCTGTTTTCTTTGCGCTTCCCACCCTTGTTGGCACCCAGGGCACTTGCCCCTGTCGCTCTGCCCTAGTTACACTACTGCCACAATGGCTGCAATTCTCATTATACACAGCTTTCATTAAGTAAAAAGTCAACAGCAATCTTTGCCCAGACAGATGTGTTTTTTAAGGCCAACTACAGTCACAGTCCTGCTTAGTCTTTGCAAGAGTGTAGGCTTCAGTGACTCTTTCATCATGGCCACCTACTTGTGAGTACCTCTGTGCACAACATACTTGTACAATTGCATGAAAAGGGCATAGTAAACTTTCAAAAGTCACACTCTTATCTGAAATATTTTACCAGACAATTGTTGAATGTCTGTATGTTAAGTGGAAGAGATGGGGTGGTAGAGGCGGTTGCTTTTTCTAGTTTGTTTACTTTGCACATTTGCTATAAGTTTTTGTACAGTGAGTTTAGTCTATTGCCTTGCTTTGTATAACTTCATCTAGTAATAGGGAAAAGAAAAAGTATTTTGTGAAAAATAATTGAAGATGAACTGAACAACCATAACAAATCAGCCAGGAGACTCAGCACCATAGTTACTTTTTAACTTATTTTCTGAATTAGATGTATGATTAGATGTCCAGCTAATTGTATTGTTGGGACTGCTATTATAGCACAGGATTCAAAATAAAAGTGTGGCCCAACACACTTGCTAAAAATCAGCTCCAACTCTGTGCTGACATGATTGGCTCCCCCAGACTCAAAGAATGCATTCCATACTTACAGCTGGGGGGCCAAACTGCTATAAGCGACATGGGCAGCTTTTGTTCATGGCATGTGGCACAGGGCAGGGAGAAGAAAGCAGAAGCAGCTGGTCAGGCAAAGATGGGTATGAGACTGGCACTCAAGGAGGGTAATAGGGCTAATTTGTGACACACCTGCCAAAAAGGTTGTCCCCCACTGATTTAAGCAAAGAAAGCCAACATTGTTAATAAAGTTGCAGTTCACTTGTTCTTGTTTACATGACTTGTTTGCAACAATTTCAAACTGCTTGAGTCTGGGACGCAGGAATTTTGCATAAAAAGTAATGCTGATTTGTCCAGATCTAACTGGTTTAGTTTTTATTAGCTATTTTCAAACATCCAACTAAAGATGAAGCAAGCAGCAGTTTCAATGACTGAACTGTAGTATATCCCAGCTGTATATTCCCTTCTCCTTTTAATATTAAGCAGTCAAATGTCAATCTATGCATATTCTATTAGACTCTGGATATTCTGAAATGTTTTATGCTTTGGGTGGTATCAAAAGCTACACACATTCAATCAGAGACCAGACAGATTTTTATTCTGCATCTTCCTCACTCTCCACAGCCTTTGAGAAAGAGTGCAGCAAAACAAGTCTAAAAGTAGTACAACCTGCAATGACTGGTGACACTTGAGTTGTCTGTCCTGTAACTGCTTTGCTATTAATTGGCTTTGCAAAGATCAGCTTGGTGATCACTGGGCCAGATGTTGGGGTTTGGGTCTTCTTAGCAATCTGAAAAATGAACAAGAGAGACAATTCTGGAATAACTTCAGAGTTCAGAAACTTCAGGCACATTGTTGCTAAATCCACAGAAGTCTTGAGGGTGCTGCCCATACAATTAAGCAGGTGACTCAGCCATAACTTTCTAAAGTTACTTCCTGCTAACTCCCCATCTTTTTCCCCTCAAGCACAGATTTAGGTGTCCGTAGGGTCACTTTAAAGAACCAGTCCAAACAAGCTGAAGAAAAGAATAGCCAAACTTATACTTCATTTTAATAAGGTACATATATTAAAAAAAAAAGCCTGGTCTTCAAGCAGGACAGACCTCTGAAATTGCTTCTACATTGACCCAAGATCTATTTAACATGTGAGAGTACTTTAAATATCAAGACACATTCTTTTTTTGAAATTCTAAACACAAGGCACCCAGGGGAAAAGATCAGCATTCTGATACAGACAAAAACTACCTTATTTCCACCACTCCCACCCCAACACTTAAAACATGCCCTCTACACCTGTGAAGTCACCTGTGAAGTAAAAATCCAGTCTTCCGAAATATAACTGGATTACAGAGGGGGTATTTCAAATGACTGAGGCAGCTCAGATCCACTTGAAGATTTTATAAAAAGGATTGGAGAATATGCAATAAATCAACCTTTTCCTCTCCCTATCCAATTTCTGGAAAAAAAATCAAAACCTAACCTCCAAAATTGAGCTATAAAATGTATTAAACTATGATGGTCACTGGAGACTGGTATCCAGCTTGTAAAGAGGTCTTGGTTAGTTATTATAACTAGGGACAATTTTGCTCTCAGTCTGATAACTGAACTTCTCAAGGTAGTCTTTAGAGGCATCAGATATATCTGTATCGATAGCTAGCTAGCTACCTAGACAGATAGAGATAAAGTTGCCGACCTCTGACCTAGACAGTACTCTGACCAAAATTTAGCTCCAACATTTACTAGCAATTTAGATCAAGCCTGTCATTTTTCTACTCGGTGGGTGCATCTACAGGCCATGTGATAAACTCCACAGCGGTTTGCACTGGAATTAACTGTTCCCAGGCACAGCATTTAGGTGTGCACCTAGGACTGCACCAAGTAGTGCCAGGGTGGACCAGCCCCAGGCTGCCAAGGGGACAGGAAGGGGCCAGCCCCAGGCTCCAGATGGCAGTGTGGGGGCTGGTAGGAGCTGGGGTTCTGGTCCCCAGCTTCTTGGGCTGACCAGGTGCAATTAACGCACTTGGTTAGAATCTACACATGCATTTTGGCACATTAGAAGTACTCTGCCATAGGATAGCACTGTCCCCAACAGTACTATACTACAGCGAAGTCAATAAGTTCACTGCACCCCAATACCAGTGCACATGTAGACTGTGACACTTTACTGTGGAGCTAATTAGTCAACTCCACAGTAAACCACACATGTAGATGCACCCAGGGACACCAGACTTATACCACTATTGCACTGACTTGAATAAGTGACAATGATATAAAATTTGTGTCTGACTCGAGACCAAGGACATACAACAGCAAACCAGACCCACAGAGAAGAAAATCCACAACAAGGCAAGCATCTGGAAATGCAAGTTAGGATTTTGTATTGCCATGTGGAAAGTTCAGAGAAAGCTGTTCCCAAATAATGTTCTGTGGTGTCCCCAAGAAAATGCTGACTACAGACATTTAGATTTTATTTTAGGCAGTTGTTACATTATTTTGGGTCAGAGCACCACTCACCCAGAGACCTTCAGACCAGAGATAGCAATGGGGCCATTTCAGTTCACAGTAGCGATACGAGCAATATCACCAGCACCACTGGAGAAGCCAGAACTCACATACAGTTATAGCTGTGGGAGGCATCAAGCCTGGAACTGTCTGAAAAAAAGTCATTCTAGCATCCTTTCCAGAGAACCGTTACTGTCTTGACATGGAAACCTCCCTCATAAAACAAACCTTGCCTCTGTACTCCTTCAGCTGTACCCAGGCAACAGCAGCAAACCTAAAAAAAACCCTTTGAAACTAGACACAGAAAACAGATTACAATTAAAAAGGAACCCATGTACTCTTCTGCATTATTATGCAAAAACTATCCTGGGAAAGTCTCTTCTTCACACAGCCCACAAAAGGCAGCTGTATATTTCCCCAAATGCACTATACATATACACCAGTGGTGCTTTCTGCCCCACAAGCCACAGGGGAGGTGCCAATCCCTTCAGCAGCCCTGCCTGGGTACAATCTGACCACTTGGCAACAAGCCCAGTCTGGGCCTGATATGACCACAATGCTTGGAAATTTGGTAGTGGGGGAGGAAGGCAGTATTAATTGCCACCACTTCCCCACTGCCAAATTTCCTATCCATGGCGAGTCCTATGAGCCAGGTGTTGAGCACCCATGTACTAAATCATTACTAGAGGTGCACCAATACACTGGTCCCATATTGGACTGGCACTGATAAAAGGAAAATTGACAGTATTGGCAATCAGCCTTTTTTTGGCTGATGTGGCCGATAAATGCCCCATGCACATGCACAACCGCAGTGCAGCACACAGGCAGCCAGGAGAACAGCCTGGCAGCATAGAGAGCAGCCAGGTCTGCTTGGAAAGTCTGTTGTGAGAGAAGGGGGGGAGGCGGGGCGGCAGGTCGAGGCCCCAGTGGCAAGGGAGGGAGGGGGCCTGGCGCTGCACAGCTATGGTGGGGGATGGCATGGAGCCACAAGTGGCTCATCCAGGAGATGCAACTCCTGCTGCTATGTTCACCCCAGGAAAGCGTGGGGGGCACGTGCCCCCAGATCTGCGCTTGGGGTGAGGGCAGACTGCCGCTAAGGGCTGGGGTGATGCCAGGTTCTTCCCAGTGAGAGGCTGAACCAGGCTGTGCTTGGGGTGGGCAGTGGTGGTGCTGGGAGGGGGGCCATGCCAAATTTTGGGGTGGCTGCAGCCCCCTCAACCCTTCCCCCAGCAGTGCCACTGCTGCTCCTGCATGCAGCCTAACCCCCTGCCAGAAAGACCTTGGTGCTGTCCCCAGCCCCATCCACCACAGTGGCAGCCCACCTTTGCCCCACATGCAGATTCCGGGGGGGGGCACATACCTCCCCATGTGCTCCTCCAGGGTGCGCATAGCGGTGAGAGCCACCACCTCCTCCCCACACCCCTGGACGAGCCACTCACAGCTCTCTCCCATGCTCTGCCCTGGCTGTGCAGCACCTGCCCCTGCATGGCCCCAGCCCCACTTTCCCCCTCACCATGGGGACCTCGATCTGCCCCCCATGCCCCTTACCTCCCCCCTTTCCACTTCCCCCACAACAGGCTTACCAGCTGAATGCTGCTCTCCAAGCTGCCAGGCTGCATATCAGCAATCAGATTGGTATCGGCTGAAATGGCTCGTTAAAAATCGGTCATCGGTATTGGCCCCAAAAAATCTCTACTGGTGCACCCCTAATGATTACTTCATATTCTCTTCTTTGCGGTTTCAGAAACTATAAAAAAAAATGTTTGCTGTACTTCAAAAAGCATGGAAAGAAAAACATAGAACTATAAGCTAGACATCATACAGTGCTAAAACTTTTAAGTGAGTCAAAATTCCCATAATGATTAGTTGGAACATTTAAAGGAAAAAAATAGCAAGTAAAAAGCTGGAGGCACAACTATTATTTGGGATTTATATCAAATAATTAAGAAAAAGCTGTCCAGCATTTAAAATTAATGGTAGCTGAAATTTTCTCTCTACAGATAGCATGCTTATGGACACCAATTTAAAATAACTATTTATCAGTAAAACTGCTTCCACATCTTTGAAGAAGATATCATACATACACTCACCTTGAACAGTCTACTCAAAACATCTGCCCTCCCACCCATGCACCCTCCATTTTTACCTGTTGGACTCAGGATCACCACCTTCTCAAAAATCAGTCACATCTTGTGCGAGGGTATTATTTTACTCAGTCACTTAGTTTCTGAAGTGACAAGCAGCATCAAAAAGCTAGACTGGTGAGTAGAATCTAGATTGTAAAGCAATGCACGTCACAATTCTCAAAACCAGCGGTGCTTAACATTTTGACCCACAAGCAAATGAACGGTGTGGGGACAGTCCATGGACTGGATCTGACCCCGTGATGGAATCAGGACCCAGGGGCTGTGCCCCACACTTGCCCAGCCTCATACACTGAGATCAGGACCCCACTGCCCAGCCCTGCTTGCTGGGATCAGGTTCCATGTTGCCTTGCACACCCCATCTATCTAGCGCATAGGCCTACAACCCATGGAAGCTCCCCACATACCTGTGGAACCAGATCTAGCTCATAAGGCGGTTGAGCAGCTCTGCTCTAAACCAGAGGGCCAAACGTTTTTTTTGCAGGTGCGTCACAAATTAGCCCTATACCACCTGAATGCCACTCCAATACCCTTCTTCTGCCTAACCTGCTGCTCTGCTTTCTGTTCTCAACTGTATTCCCTGCCTGATACTCTCTCTGCTTTCTGCCCCCCATGCCCCTGTGGGGACAGTATTACTTACTAGTATCAAACCATTATAATTAAGGCAACATTTCATCCTTCCCTCCACCCCTTGCATATGCTTTCTGTGCAAGTTCTATCCACCTATGACAGTACTTCCAGTTCTTCATGCTGGTTTCCTATGCTTCTCATATTAATGTATAAATACTATTCAATCTCATTTCTTTAGAAAAGGCACACTTGACTCTCTAGCTCCCTCTCTTAGAGCCAAATTAAAATTTACAAGGCTAGTGGGAGGAAAAAAATATTAAAAAAAACTCAGGGCTTAGTTTATACTAGAAGTGGTATGCTGATACAACTGTACCTGGCAAACCCTTCTACAGTAGCAAGAAATTGTTTTACTAATATATCTTACGCCAGTTGCCTGAATGGAATAAACTATACAAGCAAAAACAGTTTTGCTGGTGATTTTTTTTGTATCAACATAAAGGTAAGTTAAACATATCACACCCCTAACTGATAGTGCTATTCTAGCAAAAAAAATTCAGTGTTGTTTTAGCCATAGCTAGGTTTTTCACTAAGCAAATATCCACTTTTTCTCCATTCTCCACATAGTATCTGACCAAGTCTACAAAATGACATGCCCCTCTGAATGAGTAAGTCTACAACAGGGGTGGGAAATTATTTCAGCTGGAGGACCATTTAACAAGTTTTCGTGAGCTGTCAAAAGCCGCAACAGTAGCCCCGCCCCCTGGTTCCCATTTTGAGACTAAAAATCCCACCCCCTAATCCCTGACCTCTGCCACTGGAAGTCCCTCCCCTTGCCCCCAGAAGTACTCCTGGAGTGGGGGAAAGAGGTGCCAGGATCTGCATGTGGCGGTAGGGAGCAGGGAAGGCAACCGGCTCCATTGCATGGGGCTTCCCTCTGGTGGTGCGCAAGTCCAGAGAGCTGCACATGAGCCCTGTGTGATAAGAGGTGAGCTTGACTGGCTCAGCTCCTTGCTGCCACATGCATCTCCCAGAACAAGCTGGAGCCTCTGGGTGGCTGCACCTGTGCAGGCCACAAGCACCCCAAGTCCCTGCTGCCTGGTGCTGCTGCCAGCAGTGGGGGCTGTGTCATGCGGGCAGGGGTTTCCCTACACCCCCACACCCTGTCTACCTGAGCTCTGCATTCCTACCACCTTACTAGACTTGCCTTCCCCCCCTTACCTGCCACCCTCCTCTCTTGACCATTTTCTTCCATGTAAACTTCTTGCTTCCTTGGACATGTATTCTTTACCATCTCATCCTCCTTCCCCACTCTTTCAGAATATGGTTCCCCTACCTCCAATCCTCTTCTTACTCCAGTGTTCCACTACATGCTTCCCTGTAGAAACAGCTGGAAGCAAAAGCTGACATCATATGACCAGCCGGTTCCACTAAGGAAGTTCTGCACTAGACCATAGCCCACTTTTGTCAATCTGTTACTAAATACAGGCATGCAGGCAGCACAGCTTTATCTTTTTCCAAATAAAAGTCAATGGGATCTTCTGAAAGCCTGATACAAGCAAAGTAATCAACTTTTTCTAAAGTGAGATTCCAAAAGAGAAAAAGCAAGTCAGTTTGATAAGAGCAGTACAGAATACTGCAGATGGACAGAAACAATTGACTTGTTATGCTACGGAAGCCTTCAGGATTCTTAAAAGCTAAAATAGTAGAAAACAATCCGGAAGAATAACTGATTTGTCTGGTCTCAGATAAAACGGACAAGCAAAAAATCATGAACAGTGTGACCAGAAAGCGCAACACCATTTGTACACTTTTCCCCTCCAGCTTTCTTTTTACTGCCAGCATCGCCTTAAGCTCAAGCCAAATGGCAGGAACAGATCCATTCTTGACTGTCCCTATGCCGAGCCAAGACTCAAAGCCTTTCAAAAATATTCTGAATACCTTCACATTAACAATGGAACTAAGAAAAAATAGCTAGGGAAACTCAAATTTAAATAAATCATGTTGGAGGGATTTTGAATCCAGCTTTGATGTGGCTGCAAAGTACCCAAAAGATTGTCCTGAATGAACAGTTCAGAGATGACCTGGTACTTTAAAATAAGTAGTTTCAAAAGTTTTGTTTGCCCTGGTTCAGATCTGCATGCTCTAAAATACCCTATTTGAACAATTAGTTAATTATAGTCTGTTTACAGCTTCATCATTTCCCACGCAAAGCAAGCTATTTTGTTCAGTTTAATTTCTCCATCGTGTTAGCACCTGTGGGAAGGTGTTTTTCCCCATCCAGGTACAGCCTTTAGAAGTCTAAATAGTTTGTAAAGAACAGAAACTTCATAAATCTTACCACTTTTGATATTATGTTTATACCCGACTGCTGTCATGGAGTTTTTCCTGAAACGGACTGATGTCATACCAGTACAAGAAAGAGAGTTCAGACCAAGCCAGGCTATCTAGGGATTAGAAAGTCTAAAGCTAAATAACTCCAAGATTGTTGTCACGTTTAGAAGACAGGGATTTGAGTGCCAAGGCTCTGAAAAAGTCTAGTTCATAAGCACTTATAACCAGGCTTAAGCTGATTTGGGATGGAAGAAAAAGTATCTTTTTGTTTTCTTCCCTCTTCCCCGCCTCCCACACACTGTAAAATCTTTTCAGATTATTTGTTGCAAACATCTAACTATAAGCAGATGTTTAAGCTAGAGGAAAAAGTAGTGTGGACTCTGAAAGAAGAAACAACATACATGCAAAGTTCAGTTCAATCTTCCTAAATGACACATGATTTATTGAAAGATTCAGAAAAGAAATCCTCTACTTAAATTCTGACATCAGACACACAGAGACATATCTGAAACTCCAAGGCAGTAGCTGAAGGTGAAGAACATATGTTTTAAATAAACACACACACAAATTCGTGGACTAACTCCCCTACCCCAATATTCTATACACATGCACATGAATAGATAAATTTTAAGAAGTCTATGATCACATCTTCTTTAACATACCTGGCAGCAGTTTTAGCTTTATAACAAAATAGTTAATTCAAAAATCAAGTTTCATTAGGGATAAACCCTTTTTACCTGCACTGTTTTTAATTGCTGGGTCTGTAATACAGAAGGCTGGGCTGCAGTGTTTATCAGCTGACTTCCTGGTGTCAAAGCTGAGACACCAACAACAGGCTTCACTTCTGGCCTCCCTCCAATAGTAACTACTTTAATCTGCTGGCCTGGTACTTTAGAGTCTCCACTTTGAGCTTGGGATGTGGTCTTCTGTGCCTGGGGTAGTTGGTTGTGTGGTAATGCTAAAACAATTGGTTGGCCAGACTTTCCCAAAGCTGTTACAATTAGCTTCTGTCCATCCTGTTTAATACTTTGATTGCTAAGTTTAAGGTCAGAGGTCTTGTTCAGAATAATCTGATTGGCTGATATAGTCACCGGAGTCGAAGCACCAAGTTTATGGAGGCCACTTTGAAATGTAGGTTTTATTGTTGAGTTGGTGTCAGTTTTTGTAATCGTGGTATTCACTCCAACATGGCTTGAGTGACTGCTGGGTACAGTAACTGGTTCTGTGGTGACTGTGGAAGTACTTGTATTTGCCAAGTTACTGGTTGAGTTTATGTTCACAATTTCTTCCAGTTCTGTTTCCATGGGAACAGACTCTCCCATAGGTGACGATACAATAACAGCTTCAATACTATCATCTTCCACAAGAGTTATACCAGTGTCCATTATTTCCTCAGGGAGCAAGCTGTTCATTTCTGCTGATACCACCTCCATATTAGATCTTCTGGCAGTAAGGCAAGGACCAGGCACTACAATTGCAATTAAAAAAGAAAAAGCTAAGTAAATCATGACTTAACTCCATGAAAACATACTACATACAAAGTTTTGCAGAAATATATTACTAAAGAGGGAAATATGGATGCACTAGTCCCAGGGCACAAGGGAAGGGAAATGTTAGTAGAAGTACCCCTTCCATGTGGCATCCATCCTGCATTCCCCTTAATACATTTACCTGAATTTCCTTTCAATCCTAATTTATAATCAGACCTCTTCAGCATTACTGCAATACAGCAACAGCTGTTTGGGCCAGAGAAAGCCTGGAATTAAAATGAGAAGTTTCCAAAGAGAAAGCCTGGAATTAAAATGAGAAGTTTCCAATGTATATTCCCATTACTGTGTTAAGAATTTATAGCACTGAATTTATTACTTTTGGTATTCCATCTACTATCATAAAAGTTATTCAGAGCTAAATTTTTGTTAATTACAGAATTTTATCAACAAGACATTCAAGAACCAAGTCAATAGTGCAACTTTTCCAGGTGAAGGATTATTGTGTTTATTATTCTAGGAGTACTGGAAAGCCCTGTTCACTTGTTCTAGGTTTAGAAAAGAAAGCCTGAAAGTATGACGTAGGCAAAATACCCACTTCAGTTATGAAGTAAAATCAGCAGGATAGCAGTCTGCAACGCCGCTCAGAAATAAAAGCAATCTTAAAAGCAGAATTTGCAATGGATTCCATACATGGCTCTGTTTGAAAGATAGGGTTTTCAGACACCTGTACTGTATCTCACATTGAAAAGGCAACATCAACCAAGACATGGAGAACAGAAAATCAGAAGGTAAAGCTTTTCCCATGCTGTCAGTTTGCTCTCTTCTCACCAAGGTGGGCAAGCCGACTTCGATACCCTCTCACTTTTTTGCATTAGCGTTAGCACTCCAGTGTCAGAGTGCAACTACAGTAAAATTCCGTCTTCCCAAACCTGTTTGCAAGTAGCTGGAGAAAAGTACAGCAGTGCCACTTTTACAGCATTCCTATTCATAATTCATGGGCTACCATTTTGAATGGTTTGGAATGCAAAGACTGCATACATTACAAATATCAACATATCTAAATTTGCAACATGTCATGAGGAGCAGCCAGACCAGAGTAGTTGCACTACGCCACAAAATAAAGGAGCTGGGGAAATGAACACAGCAGTTTAGCTCAGTAATTTAAGCAGCTGCTGATGAAAGCAATTTACAGACACAGGAGATTCAATCAATAACACTTTCAGTTTCAATTTTTTGTTTACTCACCCCTATACCAAAAAGCAGCAAGCAACAAAACTTGCTCAACCCAGATGCCAATGAAGGGCCTTGGACCATGAGCATTTAAAAGACATCAGATTCTTGGTATGACTTTAAACCAGTGATTCTCAACCAGGGTTCCTCAGTCAGATTTGAAATACCAATCCAGAGTGTTACATACATTCTGACCTGTTGCGGTCCTCGAGTCCCATGCAACAGAAAAAATGCACTATTATTTTTCCATAGTAAAAATGCAAACAGAAACTAAGAGCAGCCATTTTCTGAAGTGTGCCTTGGGGTCTAAAAATATTAAGAACCATTGTTTCAAGCCATATTAGTTTCAATGTCTATCCTGAACATGACCAGGCATTTTGCATATTAGCAATATCTAGCATGAAAGGCTGGTTATTTATTTAATGTTTTGACAAAGGACAAATTACAGCAACATTCCCTATTCATGGAGAAATTTATTTCTGTAACACTAGCAAATTTTAATTTGCCATCACAAACAATGAGCTTGTTTTGCACAGAAGTAGGCTTTCTACACACTTTTTAGCTTATAGTTTAAGTTAATGCTTAGACTGGCCTCAGAATTCAAAGAGCTCTTCTGTAAATTAAGCCCTGTTTATTCCCAAAGATAGTAATGAAAGATTGTACACACTACTGGTCGAAGTACCAGCTGCACATTTCACAGTTACTAAGTTCTGAACCTCCTGTACCTTTACTAAAATGTCTTAAATTTTCTTTCCAAAAATATACGTTTACCCTTTTCGCTTTAAGAATGTCAATTAGTGCAGCAACAAGTATTCCGGCATTGGAAAAAAGGCAAATTAAATGGTTAAAGTTACATTAAACAGGAAACAAGACCAAACAGCTGTTTAAAATGCCAAACTATTTGCAACCCAATCGATCTAACAGCTACTGCAAAGTTATATGGCTGCACTGTCTCTTTCCTATGTAGGCTTTGTTTTTAATAAGTAAATGTTCTCCAACAGATTTAAATTAATACAGCATCTTAATCACTTGGCAACTAGTAGGCTCCACGCTCACTGAGTTTTCCCCAGTTTATTAAACAACAACCTTGGTTACACCATTACCTCAAGTTCCTGTTGAGGTAACAAGTTATGAGTGTGCTGCTTTGCATATCTTAGAATACATAATCAAGGGTCTGACCCATATACCGTATACATGCAAACCTCTCATTCATCTAAAACAGTGGTTCTCAGCCCTTTTGGACTCAAAGCACACCCTCAATGGATTCAAGGACTCCTCTATAACTTTTGTAAATTGAGCAGCACCCAATTCCAAAAACTAATTTATACATTACAATGCTTACTGTCTGACACAGGGGTTGGGCAGCAGAAGTGGGGGATTATCCAGGCTGGGACAAGTCTGAGCCTGGCTTATCTCATGCCTCATGGCACTCTTCAAAGGATCTGGTGGTAACTCTATGGTGCCCTAGCCACCCTGGTTGAGAGTCTCACATCTAAAAGAAGTTCTGTCCATCAAAGCAGTTTTGCTTCTATAGTATCAGGCTCCAAATTTTTCAGCAGAAACAGAGCAACATGAATGTATCAACAGGCCTATTATGAACTATTGTGGCAAATACACAAGAACCTGCAACTCTATTAGACTTGTATTCAGTTTTTATTATTCTTTCAGAGATTTTATTTTATCATGTCAGTGCAGGTTTTTGGCTGGCGCTCAGAACATCACAAATAAAATATATCTCCTTTATTTCTTACTCCTTACAGGTGAAGTTATAATGATCTTTCCTAATGAGGGTATGGTTGGATTGTATAACTTGCTCATACAGTCCAAGGGCATGCTCACAGGTAGCTAACTCACAAGCAAGCAGTTTAAGGAGCTAAGTTTCTCAGATATCTCTGACAAAAATACTTCCCTTTGAAAGCTTTATTTCCAAGTGATGACAGCATAGCCTGCTGTGATGCCACCCCCACAAACTACTGTGAGACAAAACAGTTTTACTTATAAGGACTCATTAAGTAACATAGTAGCACCATTGCTGAAACAGTCACTTAATTAACTTTTGGATACAAAACCTGAAGAAGAAAGAAAGAGTTTAAAAAGAAAGCCTGGCAACAACTTTTACACTGAAAGCACTACTTGTCATATGCTGACCAAATCATCTCATTAAATTTACTTCCTTCCCATCTATCTGTATCCATCTGTTGTCATTTATGCTCATAGATTTAGTTTCATAAGATGTTGGGTGCTAGAAGGGACCTCATCAGATCATCAGGTCCAGCCCCCCCTGCACTTGGGCAGGAAAGACTGCTGGGGTCAGATGACCCCAGCAAGGTGCAGGTTGAGATGTTTTTTTAAAGATCTCCAGGGTAGGTGATTCTACCACTTCTGGGGAGAGTCTGTTCCACACCCTAGGCACTTAAATCGTAAAGAAGTTTCTCCTTATGTCCAATCTGAAGCCATCTTCAAGCAGCTTGTGTCCATTGTTTCTAGTGTTCCCCTGGGGTGCCTTGGTGAACAAGTGCACCCCCAGGCCCCGATGTATGCCCCTAATATATTTATAGACTGCCACCAAGTCCCCTCTAAGTCTTTTTTTCTCCAGGCTGAACAGTCCCAAGTCTTTCAGCCTCTCCTTGTATGACCAGCTCCTCAGACCTTTAATCATGCATGTGGCCCTCCTTTGGACTCTCCCCAGCTTTTCTACATCCTTCCTAAAGTGCGGCACCCAGAACTGGACGCAGTACTCCAGTTGTAGTCCCACCAAGGCCAAGTAGAGTGGGAGGATGACATCCTTAGTCTTGCTTGAGATGCATCAGCAGATGCATGCCAGTGTTTTGTCGCTCTGCCGTCTACGGCATCACATTGGTGGCTCACGTTCATTTTGCAGTCTATTACGACTCCCAGGTCTCTTTCACTTGTGGTGCTGGCAAGTTTAGCACTGGCAAGCCTGTAAGTGTGTTGCAGATTATTTCTCCTCAGACCAAGCACTTTACATTTCTTTGTGTTAAACATCATCAGGTTTTGATCCATCCACCTTACAAGCCTGTCCAGGTCAGCCTGTATCTCCAGCCTGTTGTCAAGAGTGACTGCGCTCCCGCATAATTTGGTTTTCCAATACATGTTTAACACCCGAATCCAAATAATTGATGAACATGTTGAAAAGCACTGGTCCGAATACTGAAACTTAAGGGATGCCAATGGCCACCTTCCTCCATGCTGACTCAGTTCCAACAATCAGTACTCTCTGGGTCCTACCTTGAAGCCAGTTTGTACTCCACTAACACAATCCTGGTCTATGAACAGGGCTCTTCGGCACTAGCTGAAGTAGGGAGGACTGATTTAAATGAGTAAGTTAAGGGTTTAAATATGTGAGGATAAAACTCATTTAAATAACTGACTTCAACCTTGTTACATGTTTGCACTTTGCTATTTTTTTCTAAAGAAAGGTCAGTTCTCATTGGATAGCACAACATGGTACTTTGTGCAACCCAGAAATACATACTCTGTCTACATATATGTGCTTAAACAATTACTCAGATACTTATCTATCTACATATCATTCTATCAACATAATCCCCCAAATGACTGAGAGATTCCCTTGTGACCAGCAGAACTGCTGCTTCATGATAAGTGAAATGAAACAGCTTTGCTAGATACAACAACTGGTAGATCCCTAATCTGGGAATGGGGAAACTTACTTCAGTGAAATGCTACTAAAGTACTATTTTTGTGTCCCTTTGCCCAAGATGCCAGAGGCTTGCCTGGGCAAAGAACAGTAAAAAAAAATTTTTAAAAAGAAAAAGCAGCGCTTAAAATGTATCAGCTTGAAACCTCACAAAATGAATCTTTAAAAGTCTTTCCTGAATGGGGCATAGTATGGTCACAACTCCTCAAGAAGGAACATACACAAAGATGGTTTGGGGACCACATCTGCCCTTCATGATGAAAGCATTATAATTCTTCTAGCTCTTACACTGCTGGCCATAAGCAGTAAGACACTATGATAAAACGTTAATTCTAAAAATAACCCTCTTGCAGGATGGGGAAAACAAGAACAAAATTTTCC